CTTTCTCTGTCAAATAAATAAATAAAATCTTTAAAAAAGAAAGAAACAAGTCAAGGTGGCTGGCTGGAATGGAGTGAGCAAGAGGAAGGAAGATGATCAACAGAGAAGGTGGTGGGGAATCGCAGAGCATGCAAGACCCTACAGGCCACTGTAAGAACAGACTTTTATTCTGAAAGAAATGGGAATTTTAAAATTAGGAGCCTTAGGTAGCATGGGGGGAAAAATTAGAAGGCTTATCCAAAATCATACAGCTAATAAATGGCAAAACTAGGATTTGACTCGAGATTTCTAAATTCCCTATGCCTGTGTTCTACTATTCCAATATGCACTTACTAGCCCTACATCCTCCCTCCCCAGAAGTCGGAACTTAAATACTCTCAAAAAGCTAACTCTGTAAATATTTTCTAGGTAAGAGATGTACTAACTCTCTGGTTAAGATTTCTAATCCCTCACAACTATAATGGGAATTTATTAATTCTGATGTCTAATCTAAATCCCACTGACATTCCAGCCTATATTTTGGGTGATTAAAAATTCCACCTTCCCCCCAAATGAGACAAGCCCAAGAAAGCTTTGATCAGTAGGCTTAATCCATGACTTTCAGCTTCAAGTAATGGTAACCTGAATTACTTAGAAAACGTGTACCTCTCAGATGTGAAAAGCAAAAAGAGAATGGCTCAAGAATGTGGAAGTATTGTCATTTTTGTTAATACTTTACCATTTAGTATTAACAACTAAAAGTTTGTATGTTGTCAAAGAAGTTTCTGCAGTTACTGTAACTTTGCGGTCTAGGATTTGACCAGTCTCATACCTCAGGAGTAACAAAATATGTGTTCTTATTCATCTGTCGCTTTTCGTACTTTTTTTATTTTATTTTATTTTTTTTAAAGATTTTATTTATTTATTTGTCAGAGAGAGAGAGGGAGAGAGAGCGAGCACAGGCAGACAGAATGGCAGGCAGAGGCAGAGGGAGAAGCAGGCTCCCTGACGAGCAAGGAGCCCGATGTGGGACTCGATCCCAGGACGCTGGGATCATGACCTGAGCCGAAGGCAGCTGCTTAACCAACTGAGCCACCCAGGCGTCCCGCTTTTGGTACTTTAACCCAAAACTCCTGATGGCTTTTTGCCAGTTAGTGGCAATTTAAGGCAGTAACAAAGATTAGAGGATTTTGAGGGAGATACCATGTAAGAAGTAGACAACTTTAGCTCTTTTACGACCCTGGGTCACTCCTTTCCTACTAAATGAACTCAAAACCACACAGGAATATTTCAAATATCCCTGAGAGGGAAAAAAGGAACATGAAGAGGGAGCATTTCAAATCTGATTTTCTTCAACATTACTACACAAGTCCAGGAGTCTCTACTCCATGGACTCAGGAGCCACCAAGATCCCCAACCAGTACCTACAGAAAATGTCACAGGGTTACTAAGAATAAACCAAACTATACAGCTAACAAAAGGTTTCTCCTTAAAAGGCACACCTTTTCAACAAAAACTGAACTTCCTTATGCATCTTTTCCCAAGCTTAGCCAATGCAGGGGAACTGCAACTTTGTGTGGGATTGTCTGATAGGTTAGATCTTTTCCTGAGCAAGAAATGGACAGCTTTACAGCAGGGCTAGATTTATAGTCAATCTGGGCGTGTCTCTTTCTCCCCCCTCCCCTCCAAACTGCTTCAGAAAATGCCTGGCTATTGTGCTTTGATATGTAATGATACACGGCTTTAAATACTGTAAAAGGTCTAGGAAAGAAAATTCCTTGGTCCTAGTGAAGGCTCCAATCTTGTGCTTTCTCTAGCAGTTGTTTGAATCAATCAAACAACACAGTGTTCTGAGTGCAGAGGGGCCACTTGTTAATGCGCTCATCCCAGTGGGTTGGCTGGCACGGAATACACTCCAGTCTAGCAACCAGGACAGCACAACTGTGGTTCCCCTATACACGCACCTCCAGCTTGGTGGGTGGGAAGAGAAGGAAGGAAAAAACAAACAGCAGACTGAAGCAAGAGGCCTGTTGTTTACAACATCCTAGCTTAAAGCTACGATGAATCCAGAGGTACCAGCATTCATGAGGATACTATTATTCAGGGACTCCTGAATGGCTCGGTCGGTTAAGTGCCTGCCTTCAGCTCAGGTCATGATCCCAGGATCCTGGGATCAAGTCCCACATCAGGCTCCCTGCTCAGTGGGGAGCCTGCTTCTCCCTCTGCCTGCCTCTGCCAGCCTCTCCCCTTGCTTGTGCACTTGGCTCTCTCTGACAAATAAATAAATTAAATCTTTAACAACAACAACAACAAAAAGGATACTATTATTGACACGCTGACACCCTCCTCCCACCCCCACTCTGCTATTCTGTAACCAAAATCCAACCTGAAGGTCTGACCCAACCAGGGAAAGAAGAAAAAAAAAAAAAAAAAAAAAA